CAATGGTATGGCCAGGCTAAGGGTCTGCTCTGGGACCACTCTTCAACCCAGCCTCACTCCCCTTCCACTCAGCCACACCTTGCACCTGTTTAACACCACAGGATACCTACCAACTGTATCATACCACAATGTGATACAATTTCTGATGATTATCATAGCAGTAGGCAAAACACAGATGATGGGGAAGGTCAGTTATGAGTAGTGGACAAGAATTAAATTGTCAGGAAAAGCCAAGTGGGCAAATGAAAAACAGATACAAATTAGAAGCAGTTTAAATTTGATAACCAAAGGCAAGTAAGCAGTCTGTTCTTCAGAAAATAGCTATGAATGAAAAAAAAAACTATCTCTGGGAGTTATTTTGAGGACAGCCTCCAACTCTCATTTACTGGGAGGGATGGAAACCCAGGCTTCAGGATCATCTGGGCCTAGGTTGGAGATGTGTGCTGTTTGTTGCTTACTAGGTGACCTTGAGTAATGTTCAACTTCTCTGCGTCCCAGGGCCATCCTTGGTAAAAGGGAGGTGATGAAAAAGAGGACCTGGTTCAGAAGGTTATTGTAAGTGTGAAACAAGGTGGTACATAGGAAGCATTTGACCAGTGTTGATGAACGACGGGCAATAAATCAATGAGAGGGCTCCTCTGACTTTTTTTTTTTTTTTTTTTTTTTTTGAGACAGGGTCTCATGCTGTCACCCAAGCTGGAGTGCAGTGGCGCCATCACGGCTCACTGCAGACTCAACTTCCAGGGTTCAAGTGATTCTCCCACCTCAGCCTCCCAAGTAACTGGAACCACAGGCATGTGCCACCATGCCCAGCTAATTTTCGTATGTTTTGTAGAGATGGGGTTTTGCCACGTTTCCCAGGGTGGTCTCAAACTCCTAAGCTCCAGGGATCCGCCCACCTCAGCCTCCCAAGGTGCTGGGATTATAGGCATGAGCCACCACACCAGGCCTTCTCTGACTTTTGATACAATTTCTGATGATTATCATAGCAGCAGTCAAACCACAGGTGACAGGAGAGCAATTGCCTGGATTTAATCATCAGTACCTGAATCACTGACTTTATTTTACCAGCTTTTTTGTTTACAGTTCTCATCAGCAGAGTGCCCTCTCTTGCTAGTGAAAATAAGGGATCTGATCATTGTGGTCTTCCCAGGTTCAAATATGACAACCATGTCTGTAGTAGCACATCAGGAGAAAGAGTGGGGACTGAGGTCCCCAGATTTGAATTCACCAGGCCTACGTGTCAAAACTAGGATTTCCAACAAAGCAATGAGGAAAACCTTACAACTGTGTCTTTGTTGGGTGAGAGATGTGAAGCCCCCACCCCCAGTTCCACCCACAAGGGCTACATAATGGCCGAATTGCATTTAAAAGAGGAGGGAAAACTGCATGCTGGGCTTGGCCTTGCTGAGTGGGCCATGCAAGCTGAGAGCCACAGCTGAACTGTTCAGGATCCAGGAGGGGTCTGCAGAGTGAGTATGGGGAGGGGGTTCCTGGAGGGTCAGAAATGCTTCTAGAGAGGATTAATTAAGTACTGCTTGATAAGTGCCAACAAAGGTGGGGGTCCTCTTCCCCATCTTCCCATGAGAGGACCCACAAAATAACCTTCCTTGCAAGATCACTGTGGAATTGGGTGGTTTTTCTGGGAACTGGGACCAAGTCCTGAGTCAGGACTCCACATGGCCCAGGAACAAGAGTGAAGTCACTCAGGTAGCGGGTATAACCCACCCTATCTGGGAAGTACCTGTACCACTGTATCAGTGAGATAAGTAAGTTAACATGCATTGAGTTCTTCCTAGGGTCCAGGGACTGGCCTAAGCACTTTACATGAGCTACCTCATTTCATCAGCATGAAAATCCCATGAGCAGGTGCTATGATTGGCCTCATTTTACATGGAAGGAAGTGATAATGGCTCAGAAAGATGAAATGACTTGTCTTGGGCTGTGCCACCAGTTGGGATGGAGGTGGACTTGCTCTTAACTGCTAAGCTATACATCAAGGCCCAATTTACTAATTACTTGTATAATTAATATATGAGGTGGGGGGTCAGGCTGTGCCATTGGACCCCAATTGCTCTCCCCCATCAACTAAACTCATGAAATAGATGCGTATCTTCTTCCCTCACCCCTCCAGGGAATTTCTCCAGGGATGAGTCCAATAGAACAGCCTTCCCAGATAGAAGGAAGCTGGGTTTTGGTCAAGGACATAGTAATAGTGATACTCCCTGGTATATAATCATGCACTCACTTATTTAACATTTATCAAGGGCCAACTCTATGTTCACCATGTGCTAGGCATTGGGTAGCATTGACTAGATATATAAAAATAAATCAGAGAATCTGTCCTTAAGGAACTTAAAATATGGGGGGAGACAGACATGCATAAAATTAAGTATATGTGGGCTAAGAATGTCTTAATTAAGGATGTCTTAATTTGCCATAAAATGAGGAACAGATGAAATACTCTGAAATCTGAGAGCTGGGATCAATTACTTCTAGTTTGAGCCCAGCAGGGAACTGGAAGCTTGAGAGAGAAGTTATGGAGCTGAGTTTGGAAAAACAAGTAGAAGTTAAATATGCACAGAAGAGGAGCTCAGGGATTTTTTTCTAAAAAAAGCAGGAGCAGATGCACAGAGGCCGTGAGGTGGGGGCTGGTGCAGCGAACTCCGAGTGGTTCTGCTTGGGTGGAGGGTACCATCGGGAAGGGGAGCACTGCGGGGGAGGGATGGAGGGAGGAAGGAAGGAAGGAACCAATGAACAATTGAAGAGCCTTGAAAGCTAGGCTGAGGGCTAGTGACTTCATTATGTGGATCCACTGTTGTCAAACGGTGAACCACAGCCCAGAGGTGTATCCCAAATTCTTCCCGTCCTGAGCGTGCTACCCAAATTCTGATCAATGTCTCATCATCCATTTCTGCCTCAAGTAAAGACACAAATGTCATGGTGAGGCCTGTCAAAGGAATGTTATGCTGAGTGGATTAAGTGGCAGGCAATTAGGGGGAGGTATAATATGGAGTGATTAAGAGGCAAGTGGGGCAGGATACTGTCAAGGCATTGCTGAGGAAAAATCAAGTATTTGCTAGAACATAGGAAAACCTTATCTCCTCAGTATATGGCAGTACCAACATGGCAGTAGGCAGTTCTTCTCAGATGGGGACCCTGTGCTGAAGGGCAACTACTTTGGTGGTATCATTAACTATGGATAATTTTATAGACCTCAGGATGTGTCAAACTGATTGAGGTTTACACTGTAATTACTGCCAACTTTTTTAGTATCTTTTTTTTTTCTTTTTGAGACAGGGTCTTGCTCTGTTTCCAGGTTGGGGTGCAGCGGCATGATCATGGCACACTGCAGCCTCAACCTCCAGGGCTCAGCTGATCCTCCCACTTCAGCCCCCTGAGCAGCTGGGACTGCAGGTATGCACCACAATCCCTGGCTAATTTCTATTTTTTTTTTTTTTTTTGTAAATATTGGGTCTCACTTTGTTGCCCAGGCTGGTCTCGAACTCCTGGGCTCAGACAATTCTTCTGCCTTGGCCTCCCAAAGTGCTAGGATTATGGGCATGAGCCACTGTGCCCGGCCTTTAGTATTATTTTGAATCATTTAATCTGGATTTGAGTCCTAACTCTGCCATTCACTCTTGATCATTTTTCAGGCCTCTGTGTCCCTCCACTTTCTCCTCTGCAAAGTGCAGATAACAATAATAGAAAGAAGCTCACATGGCTGGGGAGGGCAATTGCAATAATGGAAGATACAGCATTCAGCAAAGTGCCTGGCACACAGCGAGTGCCTGGTCAATAATAAATGCTGTAATTTTACTCTCTTCATCTGGATCATCCAAAATTCTAGAATTCAAAACAGTGCAGGGAACACATACACCCAAAGTATCCTGTGAACTACGGAAAAGAGGGCGTCTCTAAGGGTATCCACATGGGGGGAGGCCAGCACTGGAATTCGGTTTGTACCAAGTTCACTGAGTTTTTGCCCAGTATCTACTAAAAAAAAAAAAGAAAAAAAAAAAAAAAATTAGCCGGGCATGGCGGCGCATACCCGTAGTCTCAGCGGCTCAGGAAGCTGAGGTGGGAGGATCAACTGAGCCCTGGAGGTTGAGGCTGCAGTGTGCCATGATTACGCCACTGCACCCCAGCCTGAAAACAGAGCAAGACCCTGTCTCAAAAATACTAAACTAAAACTTCCCTGCAGAGAAGCTGATTCTCTGCAGTGCAATGTTAACTGTCATTTACTGAGCACTTACTGTTTGCCAAGACTCTCTGCAAGCAGTTTACATTCATAACAGTTGGCATGGAGTAGAGAGATGCCAGGGGGAACAATCAATCCAGAGTCAAGTAGGAAGTAAGCAAGAGTTTTGTGGGATTTTTTTTTTTTTTTTGAGTTGGGGGTCTTGCTGTTGCCCAGGCTGGAGTACAGTGGCGGGATCATGGATCACTGTAACCTCAAACTTCGGGCCTCAAGGGATCTTCCTGCCTCAGCCTCTTAAGTAGCTGAGACTATAAGTACGCGCCACCACACCTAGCTAATTTAAAAAAAATTTTTTTTTAGAGATGAGGGTCTCACTATGTTGCCCAGTGGTCTTGAACTCCTGGCATCAAGTAATCCTCCCATCTTAGCTTCCCAAAGTGTGGGATTATAGGCATGAGCCACTGTGCCTGGCCAAGGAGAGCTTTAATCAGTGCATGTAATAAACAGAAGCTGAAGACCCAAGAAACCTGGTGGATGCCAAACTGCACAGGAGAAGGGCAGGCAGGAGGCCAAGCAAGGCGGAAAAGCTCTCCGGAGTCCAAGTGGCCAGACAGATGGTAGCGCATGTATGTGTACAACTAGATGGTGTGGCTGGAACGGGGTAAGTGACCCCAAACACAGGCTTTCCCTCCCGAAGAGGTCATCTGGAGAACAACTTGATGGTACCAAGATAATGAGCTATCATCTGATAATAATGATTGAGAATCTTAAAATAAAGAAATCCTGCCAAATAACTGACCTCAAAACATTTTTCTTTCTTCGCTTGGTGAAGCAGGCTAGCCATTCCGGGAAGCAGAACAGGAAAGATGAAAGTTTCCAAATATTCTTTGGGAGAACCTAAAACAAACAAACAAAAATTCCCACTGAAAATCCCCAGTGGCCCAAGCTAATCTGGGAGAAATGTTTACTTTTGAGCCAGAAAAAGGTACTGTCCATTCAATCACATGATCTTGGATGTTATATTTTGCTCCAGACTGCAGAGCTGGGCTGTATAACTAAAGTAACTTAAAATGTCCCTCTGAGCTTCTATAGTCTGGTGAAGATGTCGGAAGTATCCTACATAAGGCTGGGTCCACCAGCTTGTTATAGCCCCAAGCCAGGAACATCAAGGAGGCCAGTGTGGCCGGATGGACAAAAACAAGGGGAATGTGGTAGGAATTGGGACCAGAGAGGAATTGGTAGTGAGAGTATAATGGGTAAGGTCTTATGATCACAGTAATAAAGGCAGTCGTTAGCCAAGGCCCAAGGCATGCAGAACGCAGAACAAACCAGTATGAGAGGGTCTGGTACTACTGAGGGCCCAAGGAACTATGACTTAGATCTGCAGTCTACACCTCTGGCTTCCACACACAAAGCAGGGTAGCATGATGATGTTTTCTTCTACTTTTTACTTTTTTTTGAGACAGAGTCTCACTCTGTGGCCTAGGCTGGAGTGCAGTGGTGCGATCATAGCTTACTGCATCCTAGATCTCTCAGGCTCAAGCAATCTTCCCACCTTAGCCTCCCAAGTAGCTGGGACTGCAAGTACCTGCCACCATGCACAGCTAATTTTTTATTTTTTTCTCGCTGTTGCCCAGGGTAGAATGCAGTGGCTCAATCTCAGCTCTCTGCAACCTCTGCTTCCCAAGTGCGATTGATTCTCCTGCCTCAGCCTCCCAAGTAGCTAGGGTTACAGGTGTGCACCACCAAACCTGGCAATTTTTTTTTTTTTTTTTTT